TTGGATTTTATTAAAAGAAGGATTACAATTAAATCTGGGAATAACTCCAGGACATCTGTAAATGAGTTTCGAAAAAATTCAGGAGAATTTGCCAAATAAATTATGAGAAGAAATCTAAGGAATTTGTGAGTAGAAATGCTAATGAATTCTTAGGAGACTTTCAATGTGAGAAGAATTCCAAGGGAAAGAGTGAGATTCAAAAGGAAATCTGAAATATTCTGATAATCTTTCCAAAGGGTGTCTTATTGTGGAGAATTTCAAGGTAATTCCGAGGAAAAAAAAATGAAATCGGAGGATAGCTTCATCGAAATTTCCATTGAATATGGAATTGACTATTCTGAGAACTTCCCAAATTTTCCCTGAAGTTAATGAATCTGCCTTGAAGTTCTTTTGTAGTTTGAGAAACTAGCCTGATGCTCACAATACTACTCATTAAAATACTCACAATTCTTAAACTTCCCTGAACTTTATAGGACTTCCGAAAGTTTCCTTAATTTTTCTAACGATCTCTTCTAAACTTCTCTAAACTTCTTTAAACTTTATCTGACTTCTCTAATGTTAACGGAACTGCTTTGAGGTTCTCTGTTCATTTCTGAAATTCTCAAACTGCTCTAACGTTTTTGCAGTTCTCATGAAGCTCGTTGTACTGCGCTGAATTTAATTGAACCGTCCTTAAAATGTTTAAGCTTCACTGAACTTTTGAACTTATGCAACGACCTCAAATAAATTTTTAACGTCTCTGAAGTTATCTGAAAATCTGGGAACTGCTTTAAATTGCCCAATAATTTTCTGAAACTAGTGGAACTGACCTCTCCCTGAACTTCCTCCAATTTCCAGATCTTACTTCTTTCAAATGATCCAGCATTTTGCTAATCTTCATAAAAATTCCTGTTCGCGGATCTCCGCTTAAGCTTCATAGATTTCTATGAAGTTCTCGAAATGTTTCTGAAGACCACTGTCCTTCTGTGAAGTTTTTCTAAATTTATGGAATTTTTGTGCTCCCACAATTTTTATGGAATTAGAACGAAATAATTAATAAAGTTTTATGATTTACACTGATTTTTCTGAAGTTCATGAAACTTCCATTAATTTATCGACACTAATTTAAAACTTCTTCAATAGTCTAGTCTAGCTAAAAAAAAAGTTGAAAATAGTGACTGATTACAAGAAAAAGTGACTTTAGTGACTTGACCTTAAAAAAAGAAACTTTTTAGTGACTGGCTTGGAACTAAAAAGCGACTCACTACCAGACCTGCTGTATAATAAGACTAAACCAACTAACTCTTTTTTTCAGTTCAAATGATGTTAAAAACGCAAAAGCAAAGCCACCCAACATGGGTAGTAATGTGTGGTTGTTTAGTATAATCATATTCACCTACTTTTGGCTACAACTAACTTACTTTTGGGTAGAAAGCGAGTGTAAAATTCCATTCGAATTGCACCCAAGTAAATGAAAAACAACTTTGGTCCGCTTTACCTACTTTTTGCTTCCTGCACTACCCGAGCAGGAAAACATTACTTATTAATACCAAATTCAGGTATGAAAATAGCATAACTGGCAACCTAAATATGGTATTAGTGAGGCTGACATAAGAGGTAAAATACCAAAAATAGTACCTCAAAAATATTCTACGCACAACTCGAAGTCGTGTTTTTCGATTCAACGAAAATGGAGGTGAACCAACGCGAGTTGAGAGAACAAATTCTTTCCAAACACCTGGAATTTCCTGACCTGTCGCACCGGCAGTTGGGAAAAATGTTGAACATTCACCATTCAACCGTCTCCAGAGTGTTGAAGCGGTTCCAGGAGCGGTTGACGTTGGACCACGGCAAAGGAGCTGGAAGAAAACCAGGACCGGAGAACAAAAAGACGGAGGGAAAGGTGAAGCGGATGATTAAAGCAAATCCCAACGTCTCAAGCCGTGATTTGGCTAAAAAGATCGGCATGTCGCAGAGCTACGTCCAGAATGCAAAGAAGAGAGCTGGACTACATACATACAAGGTACAGAACTTCCCAAACCGCGATGAGCGGCAACAATCGACGGCTAAAACTCGGGCACGGAAGCTCTACGAGAAGATGCTGACAAAATATGGCTGCTGTGTGATGGACGACGAAACGTATATAAAAGCCGATTTTAAGCAAATTCCGGGGTTGGAGTTTTTCACCGGCAAGAGCAAGTTCGATGTGGACGACAAATTTAAGAAGAAGAAAATGTCGAAGTTCACCTCCAAATATCTCATTTTGGCAGGCCATCTGCTCTTGCGGACTGAGGAGTGAGCCTTTCGTGACAAAGGGCACAGTAAATGGCGAGATCTACAAATCTGAGTGCCTCGAGAAGCGCCTTTTGCCGTTCTTGCAGCAGCACGACGAAGCTCCGCTATTTTGGCCAGATTTGGCATCATGTCACTATTCTAAAAGTATCCTGGAGTGGTATGAGGCCAATTCTGTCCATTTTGTTCCAAAGGACATGAATCCGTCAAACTGCCCGGAGCTGCGCCCGGTGGAGCAGTACTGGGCAATAATGAAGCGGGAACTTCGGAAGAGCAAGAAGACAGTCAAAGACGAGAAGGACATGTTAAGAAAATGGAAAAAAAAACTGAGAAACTGGTACCGGATGACACTGTAAAGACTTTGATGGAGGGCATCAAGCGAAAATGCGTTCAATTTTACACTCAAGGCTCCATCGATTAACTTTTCTTTTGATTTTTGAAGTAAATATATGTATAAAACTACCCTAAAATTTTGGTTTGGTTCTAAACATTATAAGAAAATTGGCATGACATTTTCGGTGTCGCAATAATTTCGTGTTCGCCCTTTATATATGGTGTTTAATCCATTCTATTGGGAGTTAATGCTACAATGAAACAATCAACAATGACATTCCATTTATTCAACGTATGCAATTTTATATATTTTTAATTGAGTCAGGTAAAGATAAGCTTAATTTAAATTTACTTAAATATGTTTTAATTGAAAGCCGCTTGTCTGTCTTAGTTTTGCAACATAAAGATTTGCGATTTCGGGTGCATTTGATGTCTAAAGTTATGTTGCCATGACTACCATTAGTAAGCTTCCGAAAGTTGGGTGAACACGTTTGGAACCTAATTATGAATAATAAAGGAACTGATTGTCTAATTTCAAAAATTGAATTTTTATTTTAGGATTTTTTCAATAACCACCCTATTTTGAATAATGAATTGTTCATTTTGGAGTTCAATTTTTAAACCATTTATTTTGTTATTAATATATCACTAAAAGGAGCAGCAGAAAAATATTATCTCATAGTCCTACACTGAGATAATTGTTCATATATCGTTTATGTGTGACACACATAAATTTTTGCAATGTGATTACACAAATGAAATTTATGTGTGAGACATATAATAATTGTTATCAATCGAGATCCAATAAATGTTATGTGTGGTCACACATGGACATGATAGTTTGTTGCAGATGAATGTTATTTGTCGATTAATATGTATTTTTGTTTATTGATATTGTGTAAAATGTTCGGAAATTATTTACTAAGCGAAAAAATGCAATTTATCAATATATATTTTCTCTCATCTCTACAGTTAAGGCCCAAACGCAATGTGGGCGGAAGCGGAACGGAAATGGAAAGTTTGACAGTTATCACAAATCACATCAAGATGCCTAGCCGAAGTCAATTTGATTCTAACTAGTTTTCAATCCGACAAGTAGGCTTACTCAGATCGGGCTTTTCCGCTGCCGCTGCCGTTCCGCTTCCGCTGTCATTGCGCTTGGGCCTTTATTCTCATAATCATCTTTTCATGACTTTTCGTTCTGGTAGTCTTCCTTCAGGTAACTGATTAAAAATGTCACGACCTTCTTACTTATATACTGTTTCAGCACCGGAAGAGGACGACGACAATTTTGACGATTTTTTGGGCTCCCTTTGTCATCGTCATCGATCTCTCGTCATCTATCAGGTTCAGAGCAGTCAGTAGTAGTCCTTCCGCTCTTTGGATGATGGCTATATAGCAGCGTTCGATAGTGAGTAGTGATTCCGGAAGCTGAGCGTTCAACTACAACTGAAATTAGAAAAGGTGTCGAAATTAGCTACTTTAAACTCAAAATTCATCCCCAAACTTACTCTTTCTCATTGATGCTGTACTTGATCCGAGACTTGATCCTCGATGTCCAAGCTGCCGTCATCGGTAAATTAATCCACTTGCTTCTCGTTCCACCTGGCCCCATCGCTCTACTTGTTAAAGTTCTTCGTAAAATTTTCCAGTCTCCATTTTGAAATTCACCTCTTCCGCGGTCAGGTAGTCGGGTGTATATATGTTTTATGTGTACCACATATATATTTTTTTGCCATGTGACACAAAACATGACGTTTATTGGAGATACACATATTTGGTATATATAGGACACATATCGTGTATATGATATTTATAAAATTTATGTGTGGGGTGTTTTATGAAAGCTATGTGTGAAATCACATAAATAAAATCTTTGCTGTTTTATCAGTGTACGTCCACATTGGTCGTGTTTTGGACACAACCCCTTAAATTTTGTTTTAAATTCAAGGACGCCATTTTGAAAATTTTACAAGATCAAAAATAACCAAATTTTAGCAACAAAGTGAATCATTGCCCATAGCAAACAATTACCCAAAATTTCATAAAAATCTGAGAAGGTCGATTCAAAAATCCTTTTTTTTTGCTATTTTACCTGGAACTGCTCAGTATTAAGATAACAATACAATTTGCGTTGCAAAAATGCAAATCATTCCATATCCCAACACAAAGAGACTCTTATGGGACATGGAATATGGCAGCGGACCTATGCAAACCTTTTTGAGTCTCAATTTTATAGAAATGATAAGGAAGGCACAAGTGGAACACGGTGGAAATACATACGTCGAATGCTATGCAAACACCGTTTCTCTGAGCAAGAGATAAATTCTGACTAGTTAGCACATTTTTTTCGAGTGCACATAGTCTCAATTGAGCGCTCAAAGATACACATTCATTCGTCCGAAAGCGCGCACGCCGGGTGGATAGGATTTCAAGAAAAGCAGAAAGATGGTAAATTTAAGTGACCTCATTTCAAGTGACGAGTGCACCGAGGTGGTGCGAAATTCCTACGTACGAGATGGCACATTTCGAGTGGTCAACTACCGACTAGATAAGGTAGCCGGACAGCCGGGATATTTGGGTGAATACGCTAATCTGGTGGTTACCGTAGAATTGGTAAATCCGATCCGTGTTTGAATCAGGACCATTTAAGAACATGCTCTATTCCAGGACAATAAGCAATCACGAGTCTTCAAATACTTCATTAAGTGCCTCCCCTTTACGGATCCAAAGCAGCGTCAAGTTATCGTGGAATTTGGCATATTCACTAAAGAAGCCGTTTGTTATCGAGAACTATTTTCAGCACTCGAACAGAATCCAGAAAGGGTAACCAAATGGAGACCGGCTTGTTGGTTGGCGCGGGACGACCTGATGGTGATGGAAGATCTGATGGATAGCGGTTATCGATCGATGCCGTTTCAGAGACCATTTGGTCAGACTCACATGGAGCTGGTATTGGATCGAATGGCACAGATGCATGCCTGTGCGTTGGATTTGGAGTACAACCGGATGAATGGGGAGAAGCTGGGAGATAAATTTGGAAGTATGCTTTTCGAAACGACGTTCATGAGGGAAAGTGTGTGGTTCATGGCAGGGCTAAAGGTCAGTATATTTCAGGTTGATTCGGAGAAATTCAATTTGGCCATTTTCAGGGGATTCTAAAAGTGGCACTGGAAGGGTCCAAATACTCCCAGAATCCAGAATACAAAGCAAGCATCCAGGCAGATATGCTAGGCAAAATGGATCGAATCTTCGAACTATCGGAGACGACCGATCGTTTCCAATCGGTCATAGTTCACAAGGATCTTTGGTATAACAACATGATGTTTCGATTTGATCACGATCAAGCTGGATCAGTCAACTACGATAAACCGTTGGATTGCGTCCTAATCGACTTCCAAATAGCTCGATATCAACCACCTGCCATTGATTTGCTATGTACCATCTACCTGCTGACCCGGAGATCCCAGCGAGACGAACTGTACGACTTCTACGTAAAATACTACTACGAACAGTTGAGGGACAAGCTACAGAAGCTCAACCTACAGATCGAGAGTATCCTACCGTGGGAGCAGTTACTGGTCAGTTTGGAGTACTACAAATTGGTCGGCCTGCTCTGGTCTGGAGTTCTGCATGCGTACGTGAACCTCCCTGAGGGATATCTCGCGGAACTGCACGTCAAGGATCCAGAAGCCTATCACGAATTTGGACTCATCAGTAGGGATACAGTGCTCATGGAATTCTTCCGTACGGATCGCTACTATCGGGAAACTCTGCTGGATTCGGTTGATGAAACCCTAGAGTATTTATTCGGATTCAAATAAAACATTCTGAATTGATGACCATAAGGATCGTTTATTGTTGTAGAATTTCGGTATCGATGAGTTCGTCTAGCATATCCAGGAGACGGTTGCGATAGGGAATGTCCACTTGGAAGGCTTTCAAACAAATGGAAACCTTCGACTTGGGCATGAATCCGCAACTGGTATCCGGTTGGGACACCACTTGTTGCAGGTAACTCTGAGGAAGCAGCACTTCGGGGCTGATCAGACAGGTGTGGATTATTCCAGGTGAACGATAGAACTTGCACGACTCCATAAAAGCTTCCCGTGGAACATCAATCTCATGAGGCGCCAAGAGCTTCCGAAGACTTACAAAGTAATCCATCACCAAAGCTTCAAAATGTTGCTTCCGAAAAATTCGGAATGTTGACAGACCGATCAGTAGGTTCAGGTCATAAGCAGGAGGAACGTATCTGGACATTTGAAAATCAACCAGAATGCAATCATCTACGATACCGGCCAGCGATCTGAACATGAGATTGTTGTTCCACAAATCTCCGTGGCAGAGGGCATTCCGAAATTGTGACGATGGTTTGACATACTCATAAATCCGTCGAATCGTTTTCGGGAGATCACTCAGGATGACGCTCAGTCGCGTTGGGTTCTTTTCCGAAAACTTGACCACCTCACACCAGAAATAGATCACATTTTCTACATCCTTCCAGCGTACACTATTTTCGCAATCAATCCAGGCATTCTCATCCAACACTCCGGGGAACAACTCCATCAAACTCTTCCCTTCTTGCTTCTCGAGGATCATCGATCCGGCATGCAAACTTGCCAACGCATCCATCGCCTTCCGTAGCTGAAACCCATCCAACAGTCCATTGTTTCCCGTCACGATATCATAACCCCCCACCTTTAGATTTTCCATAACGATCAACCCATTCCCTCGGGTCAGAAACACCTTGGCTACGAAGTTTCTCCCGTCCACTGCCTTTTGTATTCTAGGAAGCACCTCTTCGAACAACGTAATCTCCTTCCGGAACGTCCCAATGCTCTCCAGATATTCCACCAAACATGGATTCCGCTGTGGAAGCGCCTTCACAAAGAACGATAGCTTACGATCGCTTTGATCCGGAGGATAGTTCGCGCAGCGAACGTTAACTCGAAGCGCATAGTGCTCCGCGAGAAATCCATCTAAGGTCGAACTGAATCCCTCCACGCTGTGATCCTGAATGGTGACCAAGACCCTTGGATATCCGATAGCGCTGGATACGATCGAAACCAGCTCATCGGCACTGAACTCGGGAACTGTTACTGTGGACTGCATTTTCTTCCTCCCGGATCTACTGAACTCGCGAACGAACTCCCGTTCCTTAATTTGAAGCCAATTATATTGCGGTAGAATATTTACATCTTGGGAAAGATTTACAAGCTTGCGCCACTATCTTATACGGTCCGTCAATCAAGATCTGTTTGCGTCGTGCTGCACGGAGGATAGCAACTCTTGAACCATGTCCAGCATTCGTATGCGATAGCTTTCGTCGGTTCGGAACGCATTCAGGCAAATGTTTACCTTTGGAAGGGGCATGAATCCAGCGCAATCGACTGCCAGGGCGAACACTTGGTCTATGGAGGTCGTAGGAAGCAAGACTTCAGGACCGATGATGCAACCGTGGATTTGACCGGCTAGCCGGTAGTATTCGCAACTGTCCAAGAATGACTCTTTCGTGTAGATCGTGGATGCGTCGATTCCTTTTCCAGACAACACTTGTAGGAAGGTGTTGTAGTAACCGTCGAGTAGAAGGTTCATATGTTTACATCTGAACTCGAAAGTGGTAGTCAACGATAGGAGCAGATTAATGTCGTAAGCTGGAGGAGTGTATCGAGATAACTGGAAATCAACCAAGATGCACTCCTGTGGTTCTCCGCTCGACGAAGCTTTGAACATCACGTTGTTACTCCAGAGATCACCATGGCTGAACACATTTCTCCATTTATTTGAAGACTTCACGTATTCATACAGACTTCTTATCGTATCAGGAAGTTTTGCTAGGATGCCTTCCAATTTAGACGAATCTCGCTCCGTAACCCTCATAAATTCGCACCACAAAACGATCACATTTTCGACGTCCCTGGTTCGGGTACTGCCTTCTACTCCCGTCCACGCATTCTCCGTCAGAACGCCGGGAAACAACTCCATCAGCCCACGTCCTTCCTTCTCCTCGAGCAGCATCGACCCCGCATGGAACCAAGCCAACGCCTCCAAAGCCTTTCTCAGATGTGCATAGTCCATCAGTCCGCTGTTTCCTTTCAGTATATCAAATCCCCTCATCTTGAGATTCTCCATCACGATCAATCGATCATTTTTAGTAAGCAGATACCGTGGAACAACTTGCCTTTCGGTAATCAACCGTTGAACTTGAGGTATCACCTTCTCACAAAGCGCCACCTCTTTCCGGAAGCTCCCAATCTCGTCCAGATACTTGGCCAGACTGATGTTCCCTTTCGGGACGGCCTTAAGGAAGAATGAATACTCTTCCGGCTTAGATCCGTTCACGTTAACGATCACTTTCAGTGCAAAATGATCCGCTAGGAAGCCATCCGGGCTTCCTTCACCGAATCGTTCGATTCGGGCTGCTTGTACCGTTGATTGAGTTGTAGCGTTTTGAAAGTACCGCCGAATGACTTGCTGGACGTCGTCGTCGGAAAGATCCACATCGGATGGTTCGAGCATGGTGAAGTTGGATGCGTACCCACCGCGAATGGGTGTAATACAGCTTGGGTGGTTAGTTTTGTGCTTATAAGTTGGAGGATTTATTATCGCTGTGCCATGATTTACGGAGACGGTGTTGAAGATTAGGTAAGCCCGCTGGGTAGCTCTAGGGTGAAAGCGTAATTAGAAGATCTAATACCGTTTGTTATCTTTTCCCTTATATAAGGGAGGTACGTCAAGAACAATTAAACAGATTATGAGATTCTGCGATGAAACTTCAAGTACAAGGTTGATTAATCCGCAAATGGCTGTTGCCATGGCTGCTTTGCCTTGTATAATCAGCCATGATAGTGGCCATTTAGGGATTCTATCAATCTTGACCTTATGGTATTAAAGAATATTACGATTTAATACGGTTACGAAGTAGATAAAATGGATTTGATATTCTGCTAGTTTCTACTTATAGAACTGCTCATGTTTCGAAGACGGAGAAATTTAATATGAAAAATCATGGCACCCAGCGGCGTTGGAAAGTTCATTTTCAAAAAAAGTTCATCCGTTGTTCTCCAGAGAATCATTTCGCTGAACAATGAGCAACAATCGTGAACGAAATGAGAATAAAAGTTCGCAGACGAGATGTGCAAACGATTCCGAAAGAGAATTCCCGTTCTCGTTCTCTCAACTTATTTCACAAAAAAACGAGAAACGAGCTAGTTGAGTTTCTTGTATCCTATGTCATGTTTCGTCGGGGAGTGATATAAAATCCTCTCGCTGAACTTCTGCCACTCTTCAGATGCTCCATTACGTGTTATGCTTTATGTATGATGATATGTAAGTTGCATACATGTAGGAGTAACTAGTACGTTATTATTGGTGAAAGTATACGTTTAGAATGCATTCAATACCCATTCATGAGTTTCTGTACCTCTTGTTTAAAGTTACGCATATCAGAAATTCAAACTTCAATGGCTGCTAAGGAGTTACCAATAAAGAAGTTCACGAGTTACTGTTCGCGATCTATTTCATCATATATCGGGAACGTTAATTTGTGTAAGGAAGTTAGACCAAAAAATATCTCGTAACATAAGTTCTCTCGCTGGTGAGTCAAAGCGGGAGTGATATTAGTTCAAATTAGATCAAATATATCATATTAACAATATGATCCATTCAAATGTTGCAATGGCGACCTGCAAAATATTGCTTCACGCACCATCTAGCGTTGAAAAAGGTCAGCAACAATCATTCAATTACAATCGAGGGGTGCAAATATAGCACTTATTACAAAAGTAACAGTCAAATTATTTTCATTAATTACATTGTGTATATTGCTTTAAAATTTATCTGACATGTCACTGTTGTCATCAAAAAAATAAAATGCTGAAATACATTCATTTGAAATATTAAACAAATTTTCATTTGGTTTACCCCTCGTGACGATAAACAAATACATTGGTAGCCTTTTTGGCCATCATGCTTTCATCGCTAAAAAATCGGTTCGCCAGCTAAGTGAAAGAGTGGATCATATTGTTAATATAATATATTTGTATTAGTTCCTCTCTATCTCAAGTAAGAAAGTTCGCTCGAGAAATAAAGCTTCGCGAAATTCGCATCACACAGTTCCCAAGCGAAAACAGCTCCCTTGTGATAATGAACTTTTGACGATATTTCCAACACTGGGATCCACAATCTTGAAAAATTCTCCAAGACGGTTATTTTAAATCGGGACTAAGTTCGGTATCCAATTTGTGTTTCATGCAATGTGATTATAATATTTTTCAAAGATCCAAGATCTAAATAAAAAACAAGTTTCAAGATATTGTAGATTATTCAATGTCCCAGTGTTGAAAATTGTTCCAAAGGGCATCCTAAGTTTAATGTTCCTCATTCGAACTTATGGCGTTCAGCCAGTGTCTTATGGATTAGTTTTCATAGTGTATGTCTCTGTACGGCGCCAGTAAGTCTAAGAAGAAGGGCAATCTAGGACAAACATTAATATATTGCGAATAATTTATTTGAATCCAAACAAATACTCCATAGTTTCATCAACCGAGTCCAGCAGAGTGTCCCGATAGTACCGATCCGTGCTGAGAAACTTCATGAGCACGGCATCTCTGCTAACAGATACGAATTCGTGATAGGCTTCCGAATCCTTCACATGTAGTTCGGCAAGATGACCTTCCGGGAGGTTGACATACGCATGCATAACACCAGACCACAGCAAACCGAACAGCTTGTAGTGGTCCAAACTGTCCAGGAACTGTTTCCACGGTAGGATACTCTCGATCTGAAGATTGAGCTTCCGTAGCTTCTCTCCTAGCTGTTCGTGGTAGTACTTTGCATAGTAGTCGTACAGTTCGTTCCGCTGGAATCTTCGAGTCAACATGTAGATGGTACAGAGGAAATCGATGGCAGGTGGTTGATACCGAACTAATTGGAAATCGATCAGCACGCAGTCTATTGGCCTATCGTAGTTGTCCGCTCCGGTTTGATCTTGCTCAAATCGAAACATCATGTTGTTATACCATAGGTCCCTATGGACTAACACTGATTGAAAACGATTTAATGGCTCCGATAGTTCGTAGATTCGATCTAGTCTGTGTAGCAACTCCGCCTGAATGATTGCTTTGTATTCTGGATGTTTAGCGTACTTTGATCCTTCCAATGCTGCTGTCAGAATTCCCTGTATTTATTCAAAAGTAAATTTCCAATAATTGTATTTCGCCCATCTCGATAACTGACCTTTAACCCTGTGACAAACCATGTGTTCTGCCTCGTATAAGCCGTCTCGTAAAGCATTCCTTCAAACTGATCTCCCAGCTTCACCCCGTTCATTCGATTGTATTCCAAATCCAGCGAACAGGCGTGCATCTGTGCCATTCGTTCCAATACCAGCTCCATATGAGTCTGGCCAAATGGTCTTTGAAACGGCATCGATCGATAACCGCTATTCACCAGATCTTCCATGACCATCAGGTCGTCCCGTGCCAACCAACATGCCGGTCTCCATTTGATCACCTTTTCGGGATTCTGTTCGAAAGTTGACAGCAGTTCCCTATAGCAAACAGCTTCCTTAGTGAACATGCCGAGATCCAGAACATACTGGCGCTGCTTTAGATCGGTGAACGGAAGACATTTTAGAAAGTACTTGGTGATGAGGGTTTGTCCATTTTCCTAAAATAGAGTAAACGTTTCATTGAAATTCCATACAATCTTAAGTCGGACTTACCAGCTCTACGGTCACTTCAAGATGAGCATATTCACCAATATATCCTGGTTCTCCTTCAATTTTATCCAATCGATAGTTAACCACGCGAAAAGTATGATCATGTACGCGAGAATTTCGTACAACTTCGATGCACTCGTCACTTGAAATGATATCACTCAGCTTTATCATCTTCACAGATGCTCCGATTAAGTCGATCAATGCGCACGGTGCTCCCGATTTTAGAGGAATGGCTAGAATCTGCTGAAAACGTGTCTTTTTTTAACTTTATTTAGGAGATTTTTAGTCACGGGCTAGCTCATCTCCGAGAGAAAGTGTTTCTTTAACTAAGCAGTACGTGTGAAATTCGAATGAATGACTTGGAAAGGGAAGAATTGTTTTCCTCTGCTATATAAATCCGTTAATCTTTCCATTCCCAGATAAAGGTTGAACACGAAAAAATCCGGACACATTAAAAACACTGCCATTAAGGCATTTTTTTCAAAAATTACACTGAATCAAGCTAAGAGTGTATAGAATCACAGTAGGCACTGGTTGTCTGGATAAGTTCATTTGTTTACATTATGGCTTCACCGGAGCAAGCACGTCGCGATTCGATCCTGCACGCTCGAAACGAAAATCCCGGTCTATTGCGTGGTTATGAACGACGAAACGTACAGCAGTTGTCGATCAAATTCCGGTTGACCGGAAGAATGTAAAATCAAAAAGAAGGTGGAATTCCTCAAAAAGTTCCAAGTATGGTAAGCAATCTGCAGTTGTGGGCTGAAAAGCGAAACTTTCGTTACTTCTGGGATCATGAACCAGCAAATTGGATTGCCTATTCTGGCCGGACTTGGCAAGCTGCCACTACTCAAATTCCACCAAACAGTGGTACAGCGAAAATGGCATCACAGTGGTTCCCAAGGAGATTAATCCAGTCAATACTCCGGGACTAAGGAATACTGGTCAATTATGAAGCACATACTGAACAAAAAGCGTGGAACTGCAATTGACCTGAAGGATTTCAAGCGGAAATGGAATTTGGCAGCCAAACAATTGGGAACGTGCAAAAGATGATGGGCCGTGTACGAAGAAAAGTTCGAGCAATGGCCTATGGTAAGAAGGAAGACTGAAACAATGGTCTTACAATAAGCATAATACCTACTTTATGTAGAGTTGTTACATTGAAGTATGAAAAATAAAACGTATTTTTAAACCCCAACAAGATATTCGGGTCCGGATTTTTTCGTGTTCAACCTTTATGCAGGTAGGTTACGACATTGCAGCAAAGCAACAAACGAAGAAACGAAGGGGGAAGTAAATGCCCAAAGAAGGTTTTGAGCGTTCGATTTATAAATAGACGGTGAAGTCTGTGCGTATCAAACGTGGAACTCCATGAATTGCTATGGAAACCTTGCTTATGATTGATCGCATTATGGCCTCGAAATTTCAAGAGCACACATATCGACTCTCACAAGATATACGACAACGAAACTGGAATTCCATGTTTGCTGCAGTGCAGCCAACAAGAAGTTTTAATTTCACACTTGTAACAAATTGAAAAAAAAATTGGGACTTCGAAGGACTTGAAAAATAAACTGAAGACTAATTTTGAAGGTCTCCAATTAGGACTTGAATTGTAGATTCTAGATGTAGAAACAATTGCAAGATCCCAGCCACGCTTTGTTTGTTAGAATAACTTAAAAAAAAAAACGACATTCCCGAAACCTTCACCATTGGAAAGAGAGAACTTTTCCAGTCATTTTGAAACTAGGGGAAATGCAGGTAATGTCGGCCTAAGGGTCCCTAATTTGGGCCCATACATAAATTGAGCAATCGACTAAATTTTCAATGGCAACCAAAAATATCCATTAGTAACGTCCCAATAACGCGTTCATCTAGATAAAATTGATAAATAGCAGATTTTACTTAAATTTTTCATCAAAAGATTAACCATAATTTTCTCGATATTTTCCATACAAACAGAGCGCGGGTAAAGTGGCCCATAGAAATGGACGCTCAAATTGACTCATATTTTGTATCAAAATGTGTCGCTGATGAAATATTTCATCAATTGTCTCAAAACGACGGGAAAAGTCCCCTCTTTCGAATGGTGAAAGTTTCGGGAATGCCGATTTTTTTGTCACTTTCAAATCGGCTGGTGAACAGAAGTGCGCGAATTACTTTACGTTCTCGAGTTATATTAAATCAAATTGATTTTGTGCGTTAAGTTTCTCAACAGTGGACACAACAATCAATACGAAACTAACGATTTAAAATTGGCTCACTACTTGACTAGCCTATTGGTCCCAAGCAAATCGATTACGTACCCCATTCTAGTCAACATTCTAGTACTACACTATGTTTGTTTTGATTCGCTATGAAAGTTTGACAGATAAAATGAGGGGTTAGTGGATTTTCCTATGTTTCGAGGGGTAAATCGATTAGCTTGGGACCGAAGATAGTACCAGAGCTGAGCCAAAAAGTTGAGCACGTTTCTTCGGGACCTACTAGTCTTAGAGTTATCTCTATGGTGGACATAAGTCCGTATTAAGTTCCGCGTAGTTTGTTCAGTGCGTTTATTAGTGAAATTGTACAGAAAAGCGCTTTGCGCTTTTTTGTACGGGCTGGATATAAGTTACGTTCCGTTCGGCTATCGTCAACGCCGGATCGGGGGTTCCATCTGTGGCATCGCCATCATCGTTCGTGGGAGACGGACATTTCCTCTGACTCGTGCGCCCGAAGGATCGAAGGTAGCTAAACGGAGGTAGCTTCGAAGCGAAATATCTTCCGACGGTCGCCAATTATCCGTCGACGAGGTCCCTTCCACTACAACCCCCGTGGACCATTGTTTCCGAGAGTTCGAACCGTGTGAGTGCGTCACCAAAAACGTGCCGCGGTCCAGATTCAATCCAACGGGAGAGGGGGTTCATTTCATCACGGGTGGTCATAGCGGAAACAAAGTACGCGAAGCCGTCCGAAGGTACGTTGGTCTCTTCTCTCTGCGGTGCGAATCTCCCGGGACAGCACGACTTTTCGTCGTAGCTCAGCTCTCGATTGCCAAATCGGAAGTCTTCCGTCCAGCCGCCACTCCCTCCGCAACTCTAATTCGGCCATATCGCGTACGAGTCACATTCCGTTGCTGCGCGCCATACACTCAAAAAATTTATCACATATCTTATGGATGAAATCCATGTGATTTTCACATAGCTTTCCTGTGATCACATAGCAGCAAATCTCACCAAAAAATCACATGAATATTATGAGGTCCATGAAATTCATATGAAAAATCATATAAAATTAATGTGATCGCATAAATGTTATGTGAAATTCAGATGAATTCCATTAATTTTGATTATGGATGAAAATCATGTGCGTTTTCAATGGAAGCTACATGAACACTATTTTCGGTGTACTGCAGCACGTGAGCGGCACCATCACTACACCGTCTGGAAGGTCGTCTATCGCCGCCATCATCGACTTGTCGAGCCATCATCGGTCAGCAGTCATCGATTCATCGCTTCGTCAAGTAAAACCTGCGCAGGTATATTAGAGCATGTTTAATTCATTGTCATGATTTGCTCTCTTCCGTACCCCCGTCTTAGAAATCCAATGCTAATGAATGCTAAAATATAGTTTAAAGAAAAAGTTGAAGATTAGTTTTTCGAACGTTTTGAATGCTACTCCCTGAATAAAACACACTTACTAAGTTACGTTCTGTTTTCTTTCGTTTCCGTTCAGTTGAGTAAGCATTCCTTCGTTCTCTTTCCGTTTCGTTTCGTGGGTGAGTCAGAGTAATATTGTCGGTTCATTTATTTAGTCCATGCGCTCCATTCCCGTATTACTGAAGGACTTGGCATTTCCAAAAAGTTAGTACTTTTTTCTTTGCCGTTAGTAACCAACGACCGTTCAAGAGGTCCTCTGAGATAAAAGTCTCATTAATCGGGCAAAGTTTTAACACGACCAGTGGTCTCTCCTAATCGAGAGTGGCACTTAAGCGAAGTTTCCCGAACGGTTACATAGGTAGCAATCAAATGCCCGGTTTTCCCAGTTCAGTGGCCACTCTGCATTGAAAAACTTATTGAAAACTATACATTTTCTGAAATTGTTTTAAATTAAAGTCCTTGAAAATTTATCACCGGAAAATCTTAATTTGTTTTAAGTCTGAAATCTTACTGAAAGTACAAATCCAGTACCATAAAATTGTTTCTAGATCTATAATCTGAAATATGTTCAAAGCTCTTAAATATTTGTCAAAGGCCCAGAATTTTGAAAATTTCCAAGATTTCCAGATCTTCAAACTTTGTTCAAGCCGAGGGGGGCGACACATCTAAATCTCAAGTTTAGATGCTCAACAAATCTCACACTAGCGAATCAATCTTCGAAAAATCTTCTTTCATTTGTCGCATCTACTTGCATCGCGCATCATCTTATTGCAGGAAATCTTCAGAATCGTCATCAATCTTCTTTCTATCTACTCAGCGTGCGCGCAGCTAGCCACAGCAAAACTAAATCTTTTCTGCATCGTAGATAGAGTCGTCCCCCTCGGTACAAGCTGAGATCTATATTTTTTCCGTGTACTAGAAGAATCTAGATTATTTATCCAAGTGTAAGATCATGTTATAGTCAGAAATCATGTTATGTTAAAAGTCCAAGAATCTAAAATTGGGTCAAAGTTTTGGATCTTAAGAAATGTTTTATACCGGGAAATGCCTCAGTTGAAATATTTTTCTAAGGTTCAGAATCTTAAAAATATGGTTCATATTTTTTCCAAGGACCAAGATTTTTTTTTTCAGAATCCACGTTCTGAAATTTGAATCATAATTTGGACATTAATTCATGTTTTTTTTTTAAACCAAGGGTAATTTTTTTTCTATGTCCGAAATTCAAAAAAACATCAATCGTAATGAGTTTCCAACGAAGGAAACTAAATTCCCTGGTATTCCCTGATTTTCTAGTCGTTTTCAGAAAAATTCTAGGTATAGAAAATCATTCACATTTTTCTAAATTTACAGACTTAAGCCAGGTAATCAGTTAAAGCAGTAACCAGGGTGTTACTTTGATTGATTATGGTGTGTGAATGAAACTGCAATCGTTCTTATATCAATCAGCTAGCTATCTTTTAATCTACAAGAACTTATAGATAAAATTATCATAAAACGATGGGTTGAATCCCAGAAACATGCATTTTT